TAATGGTATTGTTACAACCCCAGTACTCTGGAAAATGTTTTTTGGCATTTGTTTAACTTTGTGATATTGCCATTTACTCATTTTAACAGCCAGTGCTCAAATCTTAATGCTTTTAATAGGCCTGGCCAAACAGACTACCATCTTTTGTGAATGTATTGAAGTAATTCATTAAATAAATAGAAGTTGTCAGAAAGCAGCATTTTTTCTTATTGATGATAGCAAAAATGGGTTTCATATAATTTGTTTACAAAACTGCATTTCAGGAAAGTTTTAGAAATGAGCAGATTCTGCTCTTTTTTCACTGTTAGGCCCAATTCATTTTCTGCCACTATGACAAAACTCTGAAGATTATTTTTTTTCCTACCAACCTCAAACAAATCTCAGTAAAGAAAAAAAAAAAAAAAAAACCAACAGAAAACCAAGTCTTGAACTAAGAAGAGACAGACATTCAGAATTAATGCTGAAACTGGATCCTCCTCCAGCCTGTCATATATGGAGGTGGCACATTTACGTCCAGGCCAGGAGACAGAATATCCCAGGATTTGGGCTCATATCCAATGCAGACACACTGCTGTGCAATGGCAGGAAAGTCAATAGCCAGAGGTTAAACCGAGGTCCAAACTACCTACCTAAAGGGAATCCAAAGAGCCTGCCTGCTGAAAACAGCCCGAGTTGGACCAATTGCTGTGCTCTGCTCAGAGAGTTAAGTGATGTTGATGAGGTGGTGCTTACCTGAAGTCAAGTAGCACTGCCAAGACCAGTACACCAAAAGAATGGGAAAAAACACTTGTCTGTAACAGCACCTCTACTTTGGCTGATACCTTCAATGTGAAGAGTCTAAGTGACAAACGTAGGTGCTCCAGTTCAAGCAGGTTAGCTGGCTGCCTGCTCTGTCTGTCCTTACTGAAGACAAGGTGACCAGTCAAGACACTCAAGAAAATGGAGTAAGATCGATAGAACTTCCATCAGGATCCATGGAAACTCCAAAATGAAATTCAGCATTTATTTCTGCCAGTGAAAAAGTGACTCTCATAGTTTAAAACTCAACAAGGGTGGAATTCTTTCACATAGCAGCATAGCTGCAAACCCCAGTCCACTGCCACCTGCATTTTAAAACACACTGCAACACAAATGGTATAAGAAAAATCTCTGCTACAGACATTTGAATATAAATAAATCATAGAGAGTACAGCAAGTAGTATTTAAACTGTAGATTTAGGCCATTTGGCCACTTCTTAGAGGTTCTCCAAAGAAAGAATAAAGTTAATATTTCTATATTCTTAGGCTTGTACTCCTGGAATTCCCTTATTTTCCCAGCTATCCCCCCCACAAATCTACTTGAGGCAGCATAACAGAAATACACAGCAACACTATGCAAATATCAATTAAAATTGGTATCTGACTTCAAAAGTTAAAGTTTTGTAAAGGAAAGGAGATACAGAAGAAATATGATCAATCTGAATCAGTGGTGGGCACTACCTACTTCTTAAAGGTGCAGAGAGAAAGTAGGAAAAAAAAAAATCTGATTCTCAAGCAAATATCTTAAGAACCAAATCATCCAAAGCCTTTTGGCCACCTATTTTAAAAGTTTTACTTCTAAGTTATGAGTCAATAATTAGCAGATACAAATTAACAAACATCTAAAAAAAAAAAAAAAAAAAAAAACAACCAGAAAAAAAACATTAACATTATTGTCCAGAGCTTATTTTGTAAAAGAGCTACTAAAGAAAGGTCAGTTAATTCATCATGATGGATTATCACTAAAATTTATAAGCATTAGCATTTTTCTCCTTGCTGGATACCTTGACTTTGATATGACACATATTGAATGAATCATCTAAGATGCAGGCACCAGGCAAGATATATCTTAATGCAGACAGGTCGGCGACATGAACCTTAATGGTCCTTATCTTAATCTTGTTTAAAAGCATCTTAGATTTCTGAGTAATCTTTTCACCTTCTGATATTCTCTTTTATAGAGTGTTTTTCCTGGAGTTGCTACTGATTTTCACATAAATGCATTTTTGTTGCACGGTATCAACAGTGTGTTTTTTAGTAGCCCTGAAAAGCATCTTGGTTTGCAGTTTAATAAGTTCAGTTTATATTAAAAAGAAAAAGTCAACATGCTGGAACTTTGTTAATTACTGAAAAATAATGTTACTGGAGACTACTCTGTATATTAAATACATCATCACAGCTCTTTATAACAGAAGACTACAAAATGTGCACTGTTTTCTGCTTGTGCATGCATTTTTGTCCGTTGTATTATTGATCTCAGGTATTTGCTGTACATATACAATCAAATGCTTAATTAAAGGCAAGTTTCTCTGCTACCGTTTTTGGAGTTTTTGACTTAAATGCTAGCTCCTATAGCACCATACCCTGGTGACATTCCTACTGTTCCATAAGAAGCATCTTGTTCTCTCACGATTAGGTTCAAGTTGCGACATTTAGACATGTGTTTGCCTTCCATTTATTTGCACACTGAAGCTTTCAAGTACCTGGCATCTGCACTTGTTGAATAGACTTCTATTCAGCACTCGAATAGTCTGAAACAAATCACTACATCTCTGCTCAAGTTTCACAGGCTCTGACATGAATACATGGCTCATCACTTTCACCTGGAATTGGTGCATTACTATTTACAATGCTACCTGAAATCCCAGGCAAAATACAGAGAAATAAACTTATAAAAGCCCCTTAAACTTCAAGAGCTGAAAGAAGATTAAATGCTTCGATTTGTTCTACTTTTGCCATAAATTTATTCTATTTCTGATGTTGAATAATGACATTGCCCTGTCTCAGAGGACAAGCAATGACAGAACAGCACCTGGCTCCTGGCTCCCTGCTCCCAGCACAGTCCATCACGACACACCGTGCCACACAGACCGGCTTCTCTACCTCTGCTTCCTGTGGGCAGTGGTACACCTCCATTCCCTCTGTTCCCAATGATAAAGGCTAGAAAGCACACCATTCTCACAACAGAACAGAAAACGCACTCGTATTTTATTAAAGCCTAAGATGCAATTTCTGCCTCTTTTTTTCTTGTCCTTTTATTTTTAAAGGAGTAGAAACTGAAATTTTGGAAGTAACCTAATTTTTGAAGATATCAGACCAACTCATAATCATTAATTTAGTGAGGAACATGACCAGGTACATTAATCCTATCTCTACAGCCTTGAAAAATTTCTTGAAAAGGTGCAATCTCCCCATGAAAATCTCTGAGAAGCAGTTTTGAAATGCAAATCTGCAGGTAAACCATATTCTGTATGACGATGAAAGAAAAATATCTTCTTTTCCCTGTACTAATATACTTATGCTTACATTATTCTGTATTTTCAACAAATTAATCTCTTAGTTTTAAAGGCAACCCAATCCGGAATAAAAGCAGCAGCAGAATGAAAAAGGGCATCCATAGAAAAATATTGGCAATGTGATTTTAAAATATCATCCTTCAATTGTCTGCAATTTATATTTATCAATACTTTTGCTGGGTTCATGGAAGTATTCCCACAAAGAAAAAACACTCAACGTGTTTAGCTGGGTGACCTTTAGCAAAGCATAAGGGCAGTGAGAGGGGGAAGGGTACCAGAGCTGTCCAGCAATCTCTTTCCCTCTTTACTAAATGTCATTACAAAGTCTTTCCATACCTTCAATTCAGATTACTATTCTCATAAAAACTTCCCAAAGCATTTGCCAGGTCTGCATGCAACAAGATCAACTGTCACATGCTGCTTTAACATTAAACGCTAATTAGAACAGGGATGATGGTGGAAACTGAAATATGCCCACAAACTCCTTACGAAAATGAACCGAGTACAAAATTTGTCCTCAGATTGTTGCCTTTGTGTATCAGCAGAGTTCTGCGAGCTAAGCTGAACAAATTTATAGTCAGTAATCCACTTTTTTCACTGACTGCACATTACCTGGTCTAATGTGGTCACCTAACGGCTGCAGCCAGTAACTGCACTGATGACTGGAATCCTTTAAAGACGCTCAGAAATAAAAACGAAGAAAAATCCTTGCTTTGCTAACCCTTGTTGGTTTTATCATTTGTCATTCAGTTAAATGATCAAATTAACATGATAGCTTGGAAAAAAAAATAATAGACAAGTCTTCCTTCACTTTAAAAAAAATATTCTCTTGCAAGGAACCCTGGAGATGAGCAAAAGGGTCTGAAACCTTTGTTTTTCCATTAGACTGCAGGGCTTTTTTTTTTATTGTATAGCAGGGGCTTTCATGGTTTTATTGTGGTTGGTTGTTGAGTTTGGATTTGTTTATTTAAACATTGCTAAGATTTTTTAGAATTTAAAATGAAAAAAAAAAAAAAAAAAAAAAAAGTCAAATTCTTGCAAATATTACCTGAAAAGTGGGCAGGAATAACAGCTTAATATTGCAGGTTAATACTCCTGTTCCCTAGAGCTGACCATAAATAACCAGAACTCATGGAGAAGAAAGCAGAACTTCTGTGAGGTACAAATTAACCATAATTAGATATCTGCTGTTAGTGAAATTTGATATCACATAGTCTGAAATTGAGAGATCTGATTCTTTTCAGCAGATGCCAGAGAGCAATTCCCATCAGACTCAGGAAAAAATATACCACAATCTTCAGCACAATGAAAGCAAACAAGAAAGAAGGAAAGCAATGAACTGGATGAACACTGCATTCAAATAGTATACAAAGAATATGCAGAGTTGTTCTTTTTACTTCATAGGTTCGAAGCACTCAAAAAACAAAGAAAATCGTACTCCTTTCATCATTACTGAGATGCAGACATTGTTGAAAACAAACACAAGCCTGCTGTTTCAAAAAAACAAATCAGCATAGCAGCCAACACGAGCCTGAAGAAGTCGCAGTGCAATATAATTATGTTACTGCAATATATTTATTCTATGTGCATCCACATGTTGATGTGTAGAACGAAAAAATTCACAGTATGTTTTTCAAGTACAGCAGCTGCTTTTTAAAGGAAAAATATGAAGAGAGATTTCCTTACCTTATAGGATGGCAAAAAACACAGAATTCCTTGGCCAACTCTTTGACACACTGAAAGGAGAAGTGCTCCCACCTCATCTTGGAACTCAAAGGTCTCTGTATGCTGGAACGTGGCGCACAGCTTCCGACCATTCGGCCCTGCTCCAATGGTGCCAACCCAAACCTTGTGTATTTCACAATTAAAAAATTAATACTAAAGTAAGTGACACAAAACGTGCTAAATTCCATTATGCTAAACAATGAAACTTTAAAGACGAATTAAAATATTGAGATCTCTCTCTAGGCAAATGACTCCTGGCACTTAAATACTTCAGAAGAGCACAGTAACTGAGATGAAACTGAATTACCAAATAGCACAGCATTACATCTTCAAACGGAGGGGGCACAATCAAAAGGTTACTTTACAATTGCATAATTCCACGCACCAGCCTGCTCTGCACATTTTTTTCACACTCGCAGAACGCATCTGTCAGTATTTTTATTTGCAAGCTACCTTTATTTCACAACGGCCAGCATTATACCTGAAAGGAGGGAACAACTCTGCAGGAGCTTACCTGTGAGTTCCGGACAACATGATTGGCCTCCAGCTGAATGGAAAACTTCACGCCAAGTTCGGAAGAAAATGAATCCATTGGAGAGAGCGTACCAGAGGTCAGAACAATTGTTCTGACATCATTTAGGTCTGAAAAAGCCTAAGTTGGAGAGAGAAATGAATTCAGAAAACAGATGCAATCAGCTACATCTATTTGCTATCATTCAAAATTAGTTCCTTCACATCCAGCTTACCACAGCAGGATTCAAGCACCAAAAATTAAGCATGTGGACTGCAGTTTTATGTCGCAAATTCTTTTTATGTTTGGTCTTTGCAAGGAAAGCACTTGTATCTGAAACATCAGGTTGGTTTTCATTTGTCCAAGCGTAAGTTTGTTGCAAAGCAACTCTGTAATCATCTGCAAACCTACGAAGAGGCACAGAAATATTAAAACTACAGTTAAGCAAATTGCAAGCATTAAGTCCATAAAAGGTAAAGACAATATGTTGCCACAAGCCTTTACAATTTAAGTATAAATAATTTTATATGCTGCAGTATCTGAAAACAGAAAAGCTGTTCGTGCAGGCTGTGAAGGCTTCTTCACTACAAGAAGGTAACTCTGCAAGAGATGTGAAGTTTCAATAGTTGTCAGTTCTCCTTTTGGATACATAATGAAGCCTCGCAGTAATTATTATTTTTAAACATAAGGTTTAAAGCAGAAAGCATTACAAGCTGCTGGAATTTAGTAGGCAGAAATTAAACAGTAACAGCTACATAGAAAAACAAAACCCATGCACATTTAACTTGGCAATGCATCAAGAAAATTCATTTCTAACCTTCAAATAAATTTCCTTCAACACTTGAATTCATTCCTGAGTGAAACCAATATAATTTGGTAGTATTTAAATTAGTTCTCAATGAACTCTTCCCACATAAGTAAATTTCCCAAAGCTTTTTGAAATGTTGGTTTCTCCTCAGAGTCCAGACACTATAACAAAAGTGTCACACAAATGAAACAGACTGATTGGCAACGCAGCTGAATTGACCACCACCACTCAGCTCAGGCTGTGTGTTTACACTGACCTGCTGTTATCTTTAAAAAGATATAGAAGAACCATGAATAACCCTTTCAGCACAATCTGAGTGGCAGAGCTCACGATAGGGATCTCAACAAGCTCCTCTTTACCAAACATTGATATTTTTTCTTCTTTTTCCAAGACAGCAGAAAGGTGTTTCTATGAGAGGCAAACAAATTCCACGTTAACGTTCTGATTTATCTTCCCAAAAGCAAAATTAGTACAGATGCAAGACAACCTGCTTTAAAAGTTCACCTACAACACCTATAAAGTCTGACTGAAGATAGAACTGGAAAGGAAAACTAACAGAGCTTTTGGCTTACACAAAAAAGAAAGGATAGGGTTGAAAATACTCTAAGTACATTTCAACAGTCAATAAAAAAATGCAGACAGATAGAACAGACAAAGCTATCGGTGACTAACTGGCTCAATTTAAGATAATTGTACATGATCAATTTTAACCTTTAAAACATGGATTTTCTGCAAGTTGCAGCAGCTCAGATGGATTACTCCTGGTTTTCATCACGTATAATTTTTAGACAGCTTTTCAAAATTGTAGTAAAGTAACAGATGTGTTAACATTTAGTTTACGGGTATTTTAAGATGTTCAACAACTCTGGTACTCATTTATACAGCTTACAACATTACCTGTAAAATGGGAAAACTAATATTGGTTATTCCCATTTCGTGAAAATGGTTGAGCATTTCTTTTCCACTCCAAACCTTACAGGAGGTTTCATACCCTGTTTCTACCAGCTGACTAGAGCTTGCCCGTAGCCAGCTATAAAAGAAAGAAATCAGAATCAATTTTAACACAAACTTTGAAATACATTCCAAGTACCAGAAAAATTGAACCTTGAATTGCACCACTCTTCCATAACCGTGATAAATACTTGACCACATTTTCCTTTCTGCCAGCTGATCTCTCTTGAAATGAGTTGCTCTTGATGCAGCTCAATGACAAGAGAGGAAAACTTCTCCCTATGCATTCATATTTTATTGTTATGTATTATTTTTACAGTAAGGAAAAGAGATTAAAATAAAATCTGTTCTTATGATATAAGGTGTCAGGCTCATTTAGGAAAGATTTCTACCGTACTTTTAAAGCCACTCGTGACTCTAACTGATAAAAGTTGGATTGTCATCCTCTCAATTACAAACCTCTCTAAAAGAAATAAATCTTCAGACATGAAATGACTCCTTTTAGTACCTACACAGATACCTGTAACTCTGCTACAACTTGAAAATTAAGCAGAATTAAAACCACAGTGACAATGCAATACATGATAAGGCTTTCTAAAACCAGGATCTAAGCAGGCACATCATCTCATTTGTGGCAGTGCTAAGATTTCCACTACCTAAATATGTCTTTCATCATCTCTGCACTGTTACAAAGGCTCTCCCCCTCTGTCTAGAAAAGCAGGCAGGCTCCTTCTTTCTCAGGAAATGCCGAAGCTGTCTGTCTCATCAACCAGCAGGAGGCATCAGAAAGACAGCTGTCATTTCTACAACAGTTCAAAATATGTATCTGTAAAATCAGTTAATCATTATCAAATAAAGCAACAAGGCTTAGTAACTGTTTCAGCTCCAGATTTCCTGTCCTGTCACTGCAAATTATCTGCTCAACAGAACAATTAGAAAACCTTCCTTTTTGCCAGGTTACACACAAAAAAATAATCTCCATAAATACTACCAGAACAATCACTCCTTTGGCCATAATTTGCTTTATCTTGTTGAGGAATGATGATCACTAATACAGGCATAAGTTCAACAGTGTACTACTCAGCCCTAATTCCTCAAATGTAACAACAAAAAGACCTGGAACTAAAATTAGGAAGATGCAGACAGAAATGAATGCGTGACAGCATGCATGAAACGAATGGTTAAAACATTTCAGGAAATGTAAAACCTCTGTTTCCCTGTTCTAAGCCTTAAATACCATCACATACTTTAAAGATGGTTTTGCTATAAATGCAAATACAAACACTTTCCTAATCTAATGCAAAAGGGCAAATTCTAGAAAAGAACAGCCATCCTATTAAATCTAACGGTAAAGCATTTACCTGAAACACCTGTTCATTATTTTAAATAAGTATTTATTTCCAGAGAAAAATCATAAGCATAAATAAAATCAGCTTCATTCTCACATATCTATGGTACTGAAGTGGAAACATCAGCATATGCAATATTTTTAGGAAAGGATTCAGCACGTGTCACAGACTGCCTTCAGCTCAAGCATGTTTACCCCTTCTCTCCCTACCAGAAAATCCTGTTGTTGACACCAAACGACCAATTGAAGGAGTGATTGATTGGTCCTCCACTGACCAAGCCATTTGCCCTTTTAAACCTGCATCTCATCAGAAGAGCTTGCTAGCAAACCTCCATTGCTGTATCTTCAAATTCCTCAGAAAGGTCATTTTGGCACCTCAGTGGCACAAAGCCCATTGCTTAAGTGCTGCCTGGAACGAGGGCCCAGGACCTTTCCAAGTGAAATCAGATTTTTCTAATTACCCATGCATTTGGCAAAGCCACTTCACTTTATGCAACAGCACATTACCAATTACTGGCCATTTACACCCAGTCCTCTGCTTTCCAACTGCTTTCCTTATTGTTGGCAGTTGCCAAGACAATCAACCTTCATTTTTCTGATAAGGTTAAAAGGCTTGGGGCAATCAAATCTCCAACCATGCTATTTCCATTTTGTACTAAAATACAGCATTTGAAATAGCTAAAGTAGGAGAACTAGCTTCTGCAGAAGAGAAAACCAGAAGCCGTTTCTCTGACACAAGCATTAACTCTCAGGACAGAGCATAGGAAAACGATGAACTACTTGCTGTAGTGCTGCACAGTGTATTCCACCAGCCACTGACACAACAAAACAGTGATTGACATGCACTGCTTCAGAGCTCAGATCACTTCAAGGCCATGGCGTTTAGCTTTCTCACGTTCCCACTCCACACAAAACACCCTTGTGCCCTCGTTTTCTCCCCTTCTTCCCAAGCTTCTGCCCCTACTCTACTGTTTTATATTCCACTTCCTCTGAAGATTTCCAGCTTCTGTTGAGGCCCCCTCTTCCAATCCTCTCTGTGCTTTCTGGATTTTACATGCTTTTTTCCTCTTACTACCTTTTCCTTTACATGAACAGCAATAAAAACAAAGCAGGGGAGAGGAGAACATTTTCTACTTTCTCAGCTTCATTCTGCCTTACTTATCAACTCTAGCTCCCAAAACTACACTCTCAGTTACTCATATTTCTCTGTTCACTGAACTCCATGACACTTGTGTTTCAACAAGGCAGGTGTGCAGAGATTCAGCACATCCTTGGTTTCAAATTCAGTACAAAAGCAAATCATTAAAATCATATTCTGCTGACATAATGTAGGGAGAAAATGATCAGGAACAGTGTGTGGACAACTTGTGCCTGAGAATGATCAGAAAAAAGAACAGGGTGAGCTTGTGCAAAGTGTTTGCTGACGGAATCCTCTGAAGACTTAACAGGTCTCTATTGCAAATCTGTACATGCTGCAGGTTTTCAGAGCTCTCCACTCAAATTTGAGCCAAGTTTTGCAGGGAAAACAAAGGGAATGAGTGATAAATTCACTTTCAAATATGAAGAATCTGCAACCAAATCAAGAAGGGACTGAGATTCCTACTATTGCAGATTATGAACATTTTAAGATAAGACAAAAGGAGTCTGAATGCCCTTATCTAAATACTAATTGACATAAAGCAATTAAAAAGGATTGTCTTACTTTGTCAAAGAGTAGCACACAGCCCGCAGGTGCTCATGATCCTTCTGTCTGATGTTGTTATTGACCATGAAATCTAGCTCTTCTCGAGCAGCATTCAGCTGACTTTCTGTAACACTGTAGCTCACTGCCTCCCGAGCACTGTCCTCAATATTATGGGCTTCATCCAAAATGACTACCTGGCCTTTCAGGTTAATTTCCATCTTAAAAAAAAAAAAAATAATAAGGTATCTGGTAAAACAGAGTAAAATGTAATAATGAGAAATAGCAACTAATAGGATTCTGTTCAAAAATGGTCTCCATGAGCCCAACAAGTGACTGATTAGCTAAGCTATATGAACAAAGGAAACATTGCTTGAAATACAGAAACATCCATTCAAAAATAAATCAATAAATAATTTAACCCAGGAGTTACTTGTAGATTATATCTGGAAACAAATAGGATTTCAATGACCACTGAACATTACAGCTTTGTTTTTTTAACTTCACTTATTGCAGTGACTCTTACAAATATACTTACACTCTCCCTTATCTGTGGATCTAGGAGGTAGTTATAAGGACAAAATACAATATCTGCCCCAACCATGAGTTCTCTGGCTGCAAAGTATGGACAGGCACGAAGTTTCTTTCCCAGGCTCACTAGATCCTCAATGTCCCAAGCCTGGTATGTGTTATGTGCAGAGTGCAGGGCATAGTGTTCAGTGAGTTTATGAACACCATGATAGTAAAGACAGGACTTGCCCTAAAAGTGAATGAGCACAGAACATTTCAGGTTACAAAAACAACAAAAAACAAGCAAGCTTAAAAGCCTCACAGTTGTTACATACATCTGACTTTATTTCCTAAAAACATTTCTACCAGTTACTATTCTTTAGTAGGGGCAATAATGAAAAGCACATCTTGAAGAGATTAACGTGGCCAGATCTGCAGTTCATTCAATAAACAAAGGGCACTCTGCATTTATGTATACAAGAAACTGAATGCTTGCAAAAATAAAGATAGCTACTTCATTCCACACGTTGTAGACAACATTTTCAAAGCCACATACAGGCCACAAAAATACAGTGCAGAGGCACCAGTCCTTGATGTGTAACTTCATAATTTAAAGGAAAATATTTTTAATAGGACTCTAGAAATTATAACTGTGCTCACAAATAGGATGAGCACTAGAGGTTATTTCTAGTGTACATTTTTCAACATAGAAAACGTTGATAGATGGTGTCTGTCGACTAAAATGTAATTTTATTTTAGTTAATAGAAGAATTTAACCAACATAGCAAGAAGAAATAAAAACAAAACTCAACTACCTTTCACTCTACGTTTATAATCATATGCCCAAAATTACTCACATGCTTTCCTTCCAGTAATTCTACACACAGTTCATTCCTGTTGCTACTACTACTGGACACCACTGGGTGAATACAGCTGTAATCCCGGCTGGAGAGAATCGTCATAGAGACACCGGAATACGCTGTCCTCTTCAACTCCCTGCTAATCTGGGCAATTTGTTTGTGCGTTCGCGTTCCAAAAAATATTTTGGGAATGAACATTTGATCTCCATTTGCTTTCTTCTTTGTGTTACCAGCATCTTTACGAGTTTCTTTTCCAGAGGAACAGGAACACTCCGTGCAAGGGATGGAAAGCTGTAACCCAAACCGAAAAAAGATTAGCAAAATCCCACTGCAAGATGAACAAGCCAAATATTTTTACGGTCTATTTAGAAACTGCCCTGTGGGACAGTTCAAGATATCCTGTTAAATCATCACACCGGCCTATCAGTGTTAAGAAATGTTAAAGAACATCACATCCTCTCATGCCTCAAAATCTTAGAATACTTTCTCCTATCACCATATTCAACTTCATCAGAACCCAATCTCAGAGAAAATTGCTGCCCCCATGGAGTGCACACACAGGTAAGACACACAAAGAACGTAAAGGAACTTCTGACATTTAAACTTGGGCAGAAGGATACTACTGTTTCAAAACAAGAAGCATCCCGAAACTTAAAGGGAGAAAACTTTGGGATGTGACACCTAAATGGAACTACTGAGAGCACTTTTCCTTAAAGCACGCAAAAGGAATCCAGACAGTTTAATGAAATCTGCAGAAAAAATACCAGACTACCTCACACAGACTCAATTAGGAACAAATTTGATGTGCTACTACGTGAAAGGCCTTCTAGTAACTATGAAAAAAGACAAAATGAATAATTCTAAGCAGAACCCATAAAATATTTGTTAAAAGCATTTTCTTTCTTCTTGAGAAGCACCGCCTTTCTAATGTCTGTCATAACACAGGATAGTGGAACAACTGTCTCCAAACTGTAACAATTAGCACAAAAAGAAGCACGGAAAACAAGAAACTCATGAGTAACAGTGCCTATGTACACCTCTCATAAAAATAATGAATTCCTCCAGTGTACCAGGATTTGTATTTGGTTTTCAGCTTGATAGTGCAAGTACCAACACATAGCTGCCAATATTCCTCCCTCCCTTTTTAATTGTAATCAGTAAGATTATCCATTATAAACAAATGCTAGCCATGCTGTGTGTTACACCACAACTGCGGATCAAGCTGCCTTTTAGCCTCCACTCCGAGGCAAAGCAAGTTCACATTACCCTCAGCCCCACTCAGCCTTGTCCACCATTAAATATTACAATACATGATAGGATGCATGTAAATGTAACCCTTCTGGGGCTGTCACTCACTGGGATAAAAGGTTCACTGATGTGCCAAATAAACAGGCCCTCAAAGCAGATACAGTTACACCCGTGCTGGAATTGTTACATTCCCCTCTCAGGTTGCCAGTAACAGCAGATTTCGTTACCCTGTGCTGCCACATTAAATAGCCAGTTCCAAATATCCTGCCTTCAATATTGAATAATTACTTATTCACCGAAAGGATAAAAAGAAGAGTCATGAATAGGGCTCTTGTCAACAGCGAGGCAGGAAACAGCTGACATGTGGTGTACGTTACATATGTGGCAACGCTCAACTCTGTTTGTACTCAACACAGAGAGCTGCAAATTGCACCTTGATATTTCTACTTTGCTCTTTGAAACAGTGAACAGCAAGTCAACATGCTGACAATTAATGCATAAGAAGCAGTTTGCCTACTCCACGAATGCGTTTGGCTTTTCAACTCAATTCAAATTGATTTGCAGAATTCAAAGATAATAGTTATCACTGATACTTGGTGGAGCTTAGCATTAGCATATTTCACTTATGAAATAAAAGTAATAGAAAAATATTACAACCAGTCCAGCAGCCATTTTGTAGAAGTTGTTGTAACAATGGGAAAATGCAGCTCAGAATTATATAGAAATATATATACACACAAAGAGAAATGATGTGGGAGTGTATAAATAATTAAGAAAGTAGAAAACTATTTCACCGTGGCCACTGGCTGTAAGACCAAACCTGTCTTCAGCTGTATGAATCCGGGATAAATTTTTAGAGAGGAAAAACAAATAGCCTTCTGCAGTACTTCATCAGTGACATCCAGCGGCAGATGTTAGAGATCAGATACCAGCTATATGGACCTGGGGCAATCCAGCTTGTTCTCCTTCTGTCAGCTGGCAGATAAACTGCCTATCGCATCAGTATTTATACAGCAAAAACGCCCGAGTCAGATTAATGAAAGAACAATCAAGTCTGCCGACTTGTCCTACGTGTAAAAAGGAGCAAAACAAACACTGAGGCTGTGATCTGTGAAATGCAGAGATAAGAGGAGTTCTTCATATCTGCATCTACATTTCCCAGTTACAAAGCCATCTAGATGATAAAACAGTGAACGCTGCTTGTGTGAAGTATCACACAAGCACAATCTAGGAAGATATCAGCAGCGACATTACAGAGCTTTTCAACTCCTCCTTTATGGGCCTTGGAAAGCATAGCACCCTGCGGCTGCTGCGGCCCCTTGATTAAGGCACACAAAGCAGCTGTTTATCCTCTGCACTAACCAGCAGGTGAACCCAGTTCAATATTTATCACAGGCTTTCACAGATCACTGCTAACCAAGCAAACGTTTTAATTAAGCTGGAACCTGCTTCAAAGAGCTCATTCAAAACGTCAATCAGCAGGTAAAGGATCAGATACGGTGTCAGGTGAGAGCGTGTAACACAAATCCACAACTTTCTTCATCCCATTGCGGTAAATTAGCCTATTCTGGAGTCCAGACCCTGATTGTAACAGGCTGCCAGTCTCCTGGAATGTGTAACAGAAGTCACTCAAACTCCATTGTGAAGGTTGTAAGCAATATGTTCGACTGCAATGGGCTAGCACATTAAGACAGATTCTTTTCACAGCTGTTTCTTGATACCCCAAGTGTTTGTTACACTACTCTCCATTTACTGTTTACTTTTCTTTTTTTTTCAAACCGAGTATAAACGGGGATTCCTCAACCCAGCTGCCCCAGTTTCTCAGACCATGTGCTTTCATGGGAGAAATAAAGAGAGCAGCTTAAGAGTACGATTTCTCAGCCGAAGCTCCTGGAGGGCTGCCCCCCCCCAGCTGGGCACGCAGCAGTGGGCACCTGGCTGTGGGTCCTACAGGTGCACAGCAGCCCACCCTGCCTCTGCTCGGAGCAGAAGCAGAAACCTGACAAGGAGACAAGGAGCTGGTTTTGCCAAGTTCCTTTGCCATTCAGCAAGTACCAGGCAACAGCGTTCAGGCGATGCGCACGCCTGGAATTAACAGGAACGGCCTGCATAAAAACAAGGGACTTCACTGTCTGTGAACTGATGTACTGCTATGAAAAATGGCCTTATCTTGAAAATAATAAGATACTGATTCACAGCTGATTTTTCAGTAGAGACCAAGTGACTGTTTTCAATTTTCTTCGCTACCTAAAATTCCTTGAACTTGAAAAAAAAGGAAAAAAAAAAAATAGAAAGAAGTTTTGCACTAAAGTACCAAAAGCAAATCTGGCAATCAAATAAGAGAAGCCTTTTTATTTGAAAATCAACAGCACACTCTGCTGGCCTTTGTATTTCAGAGTGCCAATTGAAGTTCAGGGGCACAAAGCACTTCATATCCTACTCAAAAATCTATGGAGCTTTCCAAAGCTCATGAAAATCACATCAAAAGACCCAGAGAATTGCTTCCACTCATGATAAGACTCAGATCCCACTCGCTCAAAGTGATACCAAAGCTTGTGGCTCATTTTGCCAAAGCAGAGCAACACCGGAAAGCAGCTGTTGAAGTGAAAACAAACAGCAATCAAAATAAAGGCTACTCTGAGTCATACAAAGGCCCAAGTCAAAATCATTTCAGAAAACTGCCCCTGACCTAATAATCATGGCATCAGAGCTGTTTCTACGTTACTCACCGTTTTGGGAGAAGTGTTTTTTACACTTTTTTCAGAGTGAACAACCAGCTCCCCATTTTTTCTCTGATTATAAACTTCTAGAGCATCAACCAGCTGCACCTCTTTTGAAAAGCAATGACGTTTTCTAACCTGTTGGGGTGAAAAAAAGGTATTGTGATGCAATCTATTGCAGAAATACTGCACTCCATGCTGCAGGCCAGCAAAAACTACATTTGCAAGGATACAGTACATAGTTCTAATAATGTATTATTTGTACTTTTTATATATATTTGTAAGAGCACCCAACCCTAAAATCTCATACTTCTTCAACTTCATATTACGTATCTCCTAATATAAATATACTTTGTGGATATTGTGCATTTAAATAGGCAAGAAATCATTTAGAACACGGTACTCTTCATAACTTAATGCAACAATGGGCTCTTGTTACAACAAGAATGAACAAAATCCGTCCACCTAAATCACAGCCATGCCAAGGATTCGCCTTTCTCTGAAACACCTTTTTCTCTGAAAAGCTGTTTTTGAGGGCTGCACCTGGATAGCCTCACTGCCAAAGAACTCTGCTCACCTGCTGCTCTGTTTCTAAAGGACGAATCCTCTTCCTGTCTACTTGAAAGTCATCGCTCTCGTTTCCACATACAGATGCCCTTTTTTTGGCAGACAATTTTGAAGCTAGGGTATTGTTTTCCTTGCATTCTGTAAAAATTAAAAGGAAATAGTGACAAAAATCATGTTCATTTGTAGAAATGCATAAAGCAAGGGCAACATTTTAAATATATCATTTATTACAAACATAGGGGGATTTCTACATAACAACATCCACGCAGGGCAGAATCACACAGCACTCTGCTATTACGATGATAAAAAAGTCCCTGACTTGAAAGCATGAGATGTGACACCAATGGCAATGCCTTTTAGTGCTAGAACAGATTTTCATCTTCTTCTCTTCAAAATTACCTGCGTCTGTTTGTTGGCCTCCAGTTTTTACAGAGCCTCCTGTTTCATGATTACTGGAACATGCAGCACCATGACTCGCTCCTGTAGCCTCCTCGCTGCTCTTGGATAGGGAATGACAAACACAGCAACACGGTGGGGCGGCTGCTGGCTCCTTTCTGTCCTCCTTTTCACATGATGATTTCAGCAGTGATTTCTCTAAGGAAGATAAAGGACGCAGCTGTTTGTCTTCCAGAAAACTTTTTCAGGCTTGTAGACGAGAACTAGACATTCAGAGCAGGTAAGATGAAAGGCTTCATGTAGGTACCAGTTATAAAACTCCCTATATGCTACACAGCCTGAACAAGCTGTCATCACTCATTCAAGATCTGCTGAGCAAAGAAACTGTAACAACTCACACAACTAAAAAAAACAAACCCCTCTTCTGCAATTCAATCCGCGTCACTGCAAACCACAAGTATTTTCCTTTCAAGTCCAGAAGCCATATCATTCCCCTACGATAACAGACAGCTAAATCCACTTGAACGTGAAAGTTATTTTGCTCAGTGCTACTGGCAATTAGGCCATTACTCCTGTGTTTGCCTAATGCCAAGGAGGCAACGCATGTAACCACAGATGGAGCCCTACCAATATCAAGTATTTAAGGACTGAAAAGCAACAAGAGCAATTCATTCCAATACATTTTGGTAATTAAAAGCTATGCAGACAGACGTTACACTTACCATACAGAGCCTGCTGCCATGATAATGCAGAACAAAGTAATGCCAAGCTTTTGCCACTTCCTGTGGGGCTCTCCAACAAGCAGTGCTGCCTGGTATTTAAGCCCTTAACGATCTTCAAGGAGAACAACAAGAACAAAACTAGAATTACTAAGGAAAAGAAAATTCTCAGGAAGGTGAGCACTTACTGAAACACTAACATTTTGTTTCAAAGGTGTGTTGTATTAAATTATTCTCTCCTTATATATTTGCAGAATTATATAAAATCTAGATTAGAATACACATGTATTAAAAGCATTTACAGCATTACAGAACTTTCTTCTTAGCGTGAATGTTGACAAATCCAAAAATGCATTTCAACATTCCCTACCTGGGGCCATTATTATTGCACAGCACAAAAAATAGTAAGGTCCATCATGAGTGAAACTCTCAAGATGCTGGAGAATTAAATATGTTATTGGTGAATGAAATTATTTTTCTACAGGCTGATGGGTACTGAAAGCTGGAAGCTGTTTGCTCAGTGGATGGTTGTACAAATGCTACTTACAGCATTCATCATAGCAAGCTGTGAAGGGTAAGCCTTGCAAGGGAACAAAATCTTCACTCCCCCAATAGTATATTGTGACATGTCAGAAGACATTGCTGCTTTCTCCTGTTTATTTCAGGTTTAACTGCAGTAAAAAACAGAATGAAATCAATGTTACCAACAAGGAAAGCTCAAAACAACAAATGGCACCAAACCAAGCAGGAAGAGAGCTGAAAGCTCTGGACATTGGCACACAGGAATTTATATTTTGTGTCTTCTGTTCTGGCTTACTTGTTACAATGAACAAGTTACTGCCATCTGACGAGTAACTTCAGCAATACAAATAAAACAAAAGATATGGGCACAAAAAGAAAGAAAAACACTATGAATGAAATGCACGCATCATTTGAGTCCATTTCTCAAACTGAGTATTTTTGAGATAACAACCCAGATCCCATGGGAAGGAAGGCAGAGGTATTTTAGGGGATTGAAATAACTACTAAAAAGAAAATGAAATAATTCTTTAAAAAAATAAAAATAAAAATCAGCTTTCCAGTCCTTCAGGCTGTTAGCTTGAACTTCAAGACGCTGTAATCTACAGTGACACAACTGGCCAAGCTTGCAGTGCTTGTTTCATAGCTACAAAAAGGTGAAACTGGGCACTGATGTTAAAAAGGAGATGCTTTAAACCAATAACATCTTTATATTAACAGTTAATCGAGGGTAAATGGGCTGCCACTAACTTTGCTGTTCTACTCGTGTTACCTTGCATTTCCCTCACTCTGAATGATAAAGGAAAGCCTGCTTCATAACATGCTAAAATGCTGAGAGTTTGATACTGGAAAATACATATATGGAAAGAAGAAACAAAAAAAACCCTTATTCTTAAAAGACATAAATCTATCTTTTTCAGCACGTACAAACCAAGAGAGCAGCCTGATATATGAAATGCATCCCCAACTGACTTTCTGGGAGGAAACCCAGACATCAGAAAACCAGCAGTACAGGGCACGCCTCCTCACCGTCAGCTCCCAGCAGCACAGAGAAGCCCCGCCAGCAGAGGATCGCTGACGGGCTTCTGCGGTCACAGCCCCTCCTCCCAAAACGCAACCGCGACAGTCGAGGGGCTTTTCTCTAAGACACTCGGGGGTCTCCCCAACGAACAGCTCGGAACTGAGTTTATGCGATCTCTGCCAACGAACAGGGGTGGGAAGGACTCCCTGAAGGACCGAACGGGGCAGAAGGCGGCAGCAGCCGGGAGCTGCGGGTGGGACCGGGCGATTCTACTGCTGAGGGCGGGGGAAGAGAGCGCCGAGGGAGCGGCTGCAGTCATCCTCCCGAGCGCGTCATCCCCGCTCACGCTGCGCACCTGGGCGTTCCTTTCATCTTCTCTACGAGGCCCCCAGAAAGCCACCCCGCGGCCTTCTCCGAGCCCGCTCCCCTCAGGGCCGCGTTCCGCCCCGCGGAAAGCGACGAGCGGCTCCGCACGGCCGCTCACCTGAGGCGACAGCTCTGTCAGCGTCCGACCTTCCCGCCTCCCGCGCGGCCTCGGCACCGCCCGCCAATCAGCTGACAGGAAAAGGCGCGGAGCCACCAATCAGCAAACTGCATACTAAACAGCGCCCGCTCCACCGTTAGAACCAATCGTGGAGGACCTTGCTGGTTTCCGCGTTGTGCTCGTTGCTATGCAACCGGGCAACGCGGCTCCCTAGGCCGTGCCCCTGCTGATACCAAAAATTCACTCCAAATTAAAAGTTTGTGCAGCTCTGAACCGTTGCACATCCACTTTTTTTTTTTCCTAAAAATTATTTATTTAAATATCAATACTGCATAGAAAATCGAACATAAGAAAAAAATATATATTTACATACATTACACCGAGATGACAAAAAATATAGCTGGGTGTCACCACATGGTTACACTCAAACAATCCTGGAATGGTGGTGGGAACTCAGCATTAGCCTCCCAGTTAACGTCCAGCAGAGGTCAAAGACAGCTATGCAGGACTTCCTCCAGCCACACTAAAAATCAGACCGTTATTTCTGAAATATAAGCTGATTTTAATGGAAGAAAATATTGTACTTAATGCTGAATGCTGTCACTTCAAATCCAGTAAAGATAGGCTGCCAAGCTTAGCAAGGCAAGTACAACATCCAGTTCTGGCACAACAGCCCAACAATTTTATCTCTCTGCTGCCTCACACCAGAGCTTGCGCAACCATCAAGAAAATTGCACCATAAACCTCTTCTGCAATGCTACAATACATCCATCAAGGCCAAATCCTGCAGCTGTAAATGAAAGAACATGTACACACATGGATTTAGCCTTCTTGTTCTCTGAGCTGGAACTGCTGTGGTCTGGCTGAAATTCGTCACCCTTCTCACTCCTGTGACTTCTGTCACAGTCATCTCCAATATTAATTTCTTATTTAATCTTATCCTGATGACAAGTTATCTCTACGCTTAATCTAACAACATTCTCATCTCTTTTAAACTGAGGTTTAAAAATACCGAACAATCTGTGCTACAGTTCAGTTTGTTCCTACACCAGGAGGTTTTTGCTTGGGTTTTCATTTTTTTAGTTTGTCTCTTTAGTTTAGTTTGAAACCGGATTCAAACTTTTCATGAAGGCTGGCTGATGTTTAAATCTGTTTTGAACTTACAGATCTCGAATTGTCAACAGTTTACAGGCCAGTTCAGCTCAGTTCTGTGACTAATTCACACTGTGACCAATGATTCAAAAGGCAAATAAAAAAGTTAAAGCTTTTTCTTAGTAATCAATGTGATGGTGCAAGTTATTTACATAACTCTTCAAGTGTTCCTTGGAATATTTTATTCCATCTTGCTCTGCAAGGCTCTGAAACAGTCGTTCATTTGAGTTCTAGTAAAGCTCTCCAATCTCAAATTTTTCTTACCCATCATTTTGCATTTTGCTCAACAAATGAAGTCCTCACTTCACAGTGTTACAAAACCCATTATGGGTGCATTGCTGTATCAAATCAGATATAAAGCACACCCAAAAATTCATGCCTACATTCAAACGATCTACCAAGCAAAATAAGTCCTTTTGAAGTATTCTTTTCCTTCAACAAGGTTCAGCCGTAACTGAATCCAATGAATTAAAAACACAGATTTGTGCTTCAATCCACTTTGGCAGCTCTCTCCAAATCCAGATACCATTTGCATTCTCCCTAAACTCCACTTACACTCATGTTAATAATTTCAATTATAGTACTCTCAACACACTGGCACAACTGAACATCAGGGTCCACACTTGTAATGTCCCTTGAACAACTTTTGTAAGGCGAATCTTTACAAAGTCCCAACACTTCATTTGGTCTCTCCTTTAGCTGCTGGAGACCTAAAAAAAAATTAAGTTAGAAAAACAAAGTGCAAATAAATAAATAGTTACATTATATCTGTAACACCATTAAATTACTTGTGAAATACAAGCTGCCTTACTTACGTGTAATTATTGGGTCAAAGTCTCTTGTCTGTGTAGCAACATCAGAGGCACAAACTTGCCCTATCTGTATCAGCAGAGACATAATATCCTCATATAAAGGAGGGAAGGCTTGACAGAACGACACCAAACAAGGCAGGGTTGGCATGAAAAAGGCATAGCGCTTCGACTGGGTTAAAACTATGGGGAAAAAGGAAATAGTTAAGTAGAAAGGAACTATTACCAAAATCTAGTCAGGAATTGTTTTGTTACCTTTACAGTTACCATTAACTTGTTGGCATTTTGGTACCACTGTACATGACCTAGACAAATCTAACTTGCACAGCAATGCATTCCGGTGTTGCTGGACTGCTCACCTGTGAGTAGGGTTCCCATCACATTGATAGCCAAACGAGCCACACTGAGAGATTTTGGTAGAGCATATTGAATGCACAAAAACGAAAGTAACTGGATGGCAAATATCTGGGAAGTAGGTAAAAGGCAAGAAAGAAATAAACAGTGAGTTATACATTACTTTGCAATTACAATCCTCTTCACATAACTTAGGAGTTAGTAAATATTCTCTATTTCACAACAAGGAAGAGAAGCCTTAAAAATAGTTATTGCAAAATTTTTCTGCTGACTTAAAAAAAAACACAACACAGATGTTTAACATTAGTCAAGCATCAGTTAGACTTCCAGAATTTCCCTCACAGACATAATTTGTTCCAACACTTCAATGAGCAACAAAGGAACAAACAATTTACAATATAATCCTTGTAAAAGCTGTTAAATATCCCATGTGTTCTAGCTTAAATTTCAGCTGAATGCCATCTCACGAGCAGTATTTAAAAGGGATTAAATAAACGCAAACAAGAAATTTGTTTAACACAGAAAACAGAAGAATCTTCAGCTCCCAACTATCCAGCTACCTAGGACTAGAGACATTTGTTATCTCCTATGTTGCAGTATACCAAATCAACATTTATCATTGCTTTAAGAACTACTAATTAACAATTTTTTGCCCTTGTTTTTCACAACTATCACAAGAAGGCCTTTCAAAAATCAAATTTCTGACTCTTCCTTTGCTAAGCTTCAATTATGTAATAATATTCCTTGGGGAAAAAAAAGACTTGGTGGTCAAACCTTTCACAAGGAAAGATAAAATTTTGATCCTCAGGCTGCTCCATCTGTTCTGCAGAGCATCTCTGCAAAAAAAAAGCTTTTCAAAATCTGAACGCTCATGCAAGTTCCTCTAGCGATCAAGTATCAGCTAAAAAGCTAAGTAGGCAAAACTTCTGCCAACTGATAGATACACAATATAAAAAATGAAAGCTGTTACTTAAAGAGCTTTTATTCCCGTTCTTAGAGGTGAAGTAACACCGAAATTCAGGAGCATCTGCAAAACAAATGTACAGAGCTACGTTGGAGGAGTCCTGGATTTGGTGGCAGAGCCTTTAATTCAAGCTAAAAATGCTACAGATACTACCTTAATATACAGGGCAGGTTAGAGCAAGACTTTTTTTTAAGGGTTCTTTTTCTTTTCTCCCCCTAAGACTGTATCATGGTTAATTACTTACAGTGATTCTCTGACTAGATGATTGCACAGTACCTGTTTTTCAAGTTCAGGCTGGGCAATGAGCTCAGGTATGAAATCCAAACAGATGTGCATCGATGGAATCCCTGCCACTGTCAGGGCCAGCAGTTCACACGGATAACCCTGCCACATTAAGAAAACAGATACACCAAAGGTGTTTTAAAAATTGCTTCACTAATGTTTTTTTCTAAACAAACATACACTTTCAACTTTCCTTTGCTCAGAAAGACAAGCAACAGGCCTGCACCTCTAAGGCAACTTGAGGGAGGCTTGGTGAATCTGATCCACAGGACTCCAACGTTTAGTGTTTGCCCTAACTTGCTTATTTCACAACAGAACCATCAGGACTTTTCCAGCCACTTAATCAATCCCAGGTCGAGGCAAATTAGCTGCTTTTAACGAGACTGCCATCTGGCAATGTACAATTTAACACACACCAAAAACCAGATTTATATTAAAAAAATTGCTAAGCTTCCCAGGCTTCTTTTTTTGAAGGCCTACAGTTGCCCTGACAGGGGCATTCTTTAGCCTTCGACTCTGAGGAGATTAAAGTGTGCCCTAACAAAAATGAAAGATAAGAGGTTTACATCTGAAACCACATGACGGCTTTTGAATAACGGATATTTGAATTTCAGATCACTGCCAGAAAAAAAAGTAAACCCCCCGCAATATGTGGAACAAGTCATTAAAAGATGTGCATGCCAGTTTTCTTTGGCCTAGAACGGACACGCTATTTCAGTATATAATAGGGCAAAGGCACAATCAAAGCTTGTGTTTAATGATGAGGAACAGACATGGCTTTGCTGCTCCCTCTCAGCTACAACAGTGAGCAAAAGCTCTGAAATTTGGAGGGAATGTGGTTACTACAAATGTGGGAGGACGGAAAGAAGAGTGTTTTTGTAATTTGTAAGGAACACAACAATAGCACCCAAAATCCTTTGAACACTTTGTTTGGCTCTTTCCTAGCCAGAAAAAAAACAAAACCACCAACATAAAAGAACTAAAATAATGTAAACCAGACCTGGAAATGAACTAGCTTTACTATGTTGGGGTCAGCTATATACATCTGATGCAGCAGACAGCAGATCAGACACTGGACCTCTCGAAGGTTACACAGCAAGCTATCTTCCTCTTCCTCTAGATCTGAACTCTTAGGACCTGTGGTATTCTGAACACTCTTTAGCAAACTGTAGGTACTGCTGCTCTGGGTTTTCTCCTCTTCTGTCGGTAAGCAGATCTCTAGAAGAATCTGCACAGCAGCGCTGTCCTGTGAAGAAAAGCAGCGGGAGAACATAAATAACAGAGAAACAAACAAGGCACAAAACAAAATACAAAGTAATGGCAATTGGAGAAACTAAAGGCAATTAGATTGCTGTAATTTCTGGCCAGTGAACTCTTTTTTTTACGGAAAAACAAAAACAAGAAGCAAGAAACAACAGATCAGGAAATATAAATCCCAGAAAACATTAAAATGTTACCTGAACAAATGCTCAAATCCAGTACATTAACATAATTATAGATTAGAGCAGCCATTTCATGGGAGTCAAGTATTATTTCAAAATGTATCTTCGACAGACCATTAAAGCACCCAGATCAAACAGAATATGCATATGCCATGCAATTCACAGTATTCAGAGGAGACTACTCGTTTAAATATAAAAACTTTTACTCACTGAAAAATCATTCTCTAAGGGACAACTTTGTATGTGACATGCTCTCAAAGGTAAGGAAAGAATGCCAGTGAAACACAGTTAATCAAGAACTCCCCAGAAGTATTTAACAATCTGAATGCACAGACTGCTTTTTCTTTTTCACCGAAAAAGAAAGTCAACTAAAACAAAGCAAATAATCTATTAGGTCCCCTGTCTTTTTTTCTTCTATTTTCTATTTCTGTATTTCTGTTACATCATTTTCTTTCTTCATGACATTGACTGACCATTTTTCCTCTTTACCTGAGCAGCAAGCAACGCATTTTTCAATTCTTCCCTTGTAACTTCTGGGGTTTCTGGACCCATGGCATTGTTCTGGGATGGCCTAATGTCCTGCTCTGCTGTTTCTTTCAGGTGAGCATTGAGGTAAGCTTTTGAAGCAAGAAGATATCCATTCAACATGTGCAAAGTTATATCCATCAGAGGAGGGCTCCTGGTACAGGAACAGATCAAATGGAGCCTTTTCAGTAAGCAGAACAGTAAGACAGTAAAAACAAACCGAAAGAACTCAAAGATGCACTTGGCTGTACTCTGAATCGTACTAAAGCCACTTTCCCTATCATCACAGAATACTGAAATAATATACTATAAGCCCTTCTGCTGCCCTGCTGTTTATTCCTGCTTTTGTCACGCACGTGCTCTGCAAAAACAAGGAACTACTGAAGACAATAATGCTTGATAAACAGATGAAACTAGAACAGAATCTGCAGTAGTGATTTAAGTAATCAATGCTCTGAATGATGGAGGAAAAACAAGCTCCACAAAACTGCTCCAACAATACAAAGACGACAGCTTTCAAATCACATCGTCTTACAGATCTCTCTTGGTATTGGAAATGGGAGATTTTCATCCTAGGCTGAAGGGACGTACGTGTAAATATTTCACCTATGGGTTGACCTTAAAGATGTCTCCAACAGAAAAGTCCAGCAGAGTTGTAGCTGAATGAAAATTGGATTAACAGCTCAATTGCTGAAAGGCTAGGAGGTAGAGATACACACAAACAAGAACGCATCAAGATGACTGCCACTCATTTATTACTAACAGCAGGGTAGTAAAAAAAAAAAAGAGTAAAAAGGGAAAAATTAAACCACAATTGACAGAAGACATAAAAAAGCTTACAAAAAGGAAAAAAGCTGGAGGCTGAAGTACTCCTAAAAAGATTAACCATATCCTTTTTAGAACAACAAATGCAATTTTCATCAGTACTGTGAAAAAATGAAGTTATAATGTACAAATTCTGACTTAAATTTTTTGCATTATTTATTTCAGGTTCTCCTTACAAGCTGCTTTGTTGCTATCAGTTTTTCCACTACTAACATTCTCAACTAGTTCTTCTGCATCACAGCCATAACTCAGCTTTACACATCCTCCTCTGTCACCATGACAGCTCCTGGAACACATTTCTGAGTGCTGCTAAGTGAGTTACTTGAGAAATGAGGCAAATCTACCTTTGTTACATGCACCAAACACCCTCTGGCAGAAACCATCACCCAAAAAGATGCAGTTATCGACAGGCCCATGAAGGGTGGTAGAAGACAGCTGTGAAGAGGCAGGATGCTGCAGTGACAACCCTCCCCACCATGTGGCAGCAGCCATTTTAAGCATATTGCAAGATCTAGAACAAATTCACACAGACGTATCTAAAATGGATGACCTATGTGTAAACCCAGAGTTTCCAAAACAGAGCTATGTAAGACTATTTAACAAGGCATTCAGGACAGTAAGACATGCCCAAGCAGCACACATGGTTCACTCCTCAGACCAACAAGTTCAGTACAAACAAAAAGGTGCCCTCAAAGCTGGAACTCACCAGCTCACGTGACAAGTTTGAAAATATGTTGTGAAGCACTGAAAGTTGTTGGGTTTTTTTTATCAGAGACCTTGGGGCATAAAAACTAACGGGGATGCTTACCTATGAACTCTCTGATCACACCTCAGCACGATCAAAGGATCAATCATCAGATCATTCTGAGTGTACTTCTGCTGTCGGACCATCTTCACTGAAGGCTGCAGAGCATTAACAGTCATCACCCACAACCTAAAATGAGATTATTTTTAAGATATGTATATTTTTTAATACAGAGAGGGCAAAAAGCTCACATAAGCATCCGAGTACTCACCGCAGTCAGCTGTATTTTTCTGCTCCCTGACAGGCCTACAAAAACCCACACTGCATTTGCAGATGTTGAAGCTAACCATGATACAGTTAACTTACATTCACACCAGAAACACAGCACTCTGTTTTCACTGCAATCGTGTATCCACTTCCTCAAAAAAGGCCCCTTCTTACTAGAGTCAGGTCCTACTTCAGAAAACAATCTTCCTATACTATAAGCAAACGAGAGACTTCCTTTCTCCTGAAAACAGGAACTATCTTCCTCTTCAATATAAACAGTTAAACATTTTAACAAAGCAAAAAGGAATGCAACTCCAACACATCATATTCAGTCATGATCTACACTTCCTCAGACAAAGGAATTAAGTTATTACTTACAGAACAAAAAGTGGCATTCCACCTCTATCTGCACTAACAGCACCTCAACCCTACCTTCTTGGCATCACGGTGTTAAGAACCATCCACAGTTTGTTGACAGTCTGAAGAATCCTCCGTGGGACTCCAGCATTTAGCAAGCAATTCATATTTGATGTCAATACTTCTGCATATGGGATCAATTCACCAGCCGAGAGAAGTGTTAAGTGTTCTAAAATCTGCATCAGCTGGGTGTGATTTCCAGGCAGCATGGAAAATGCTATAAAAGAAAGACAATGGGAGCTTGGTGAAACTGCACTTCTAACATCCTCTCTGATTTTGCGACCTGAAGACTCACACATTAACAAGGCTGCGGCAGAACGTTCTCATTACACAAATGCAGTATGACGTTCACATGAACCGAATGACTGCAATTCCAAAACCCCCCACATTCTACCAATTTGAAAAGAGCACTGCACAGTATAGCTGTTACCTTCCTGGAGCTGTTTGGGAGAATGATTCTTCGCAATGGTTGTGAGGAGCATCCTCCTCAGCAGGGCATCAGTGCCCGTGATCTGCTCCTCGCAGATCCAGTCTTCCACAATGCACAGGTGTGGATAGTTAGTTGCAAGAAGGCGTAGCAGTGCAGAATGCAAACCTGTAAGAGTATTAGAGAAGTACACACCTGTGATTCAAACAGCTACATCACTCACCTGAACATAATCCTGCCTCTTATTTTAACAAGAGACCTTAACAGACACCGCTGAACATTTCTATGAGCTTTGCACATTTACTGCCTGAAGTTCTACCTCCAACAGAAAGGGAAAGTTCTATTTTGGAGACGTGAGAGGACCCTACAGTAACACTTAAGTTCAGCCTGAATGAAAACTTAATCCTGAGGTCATTTCTACTTTAAAAACTAGTTCACTACTCTTTAAATTTCCCTCTCATCTCACTAGTTACTACTGACGTTTCAAAAGAAGCAGAAAGGCAAGCACACTATGAAACAGACAACAGAGCTGGAAACAAGCTTAGCTTTCCATCCTGATGCACATTAGGCTTTCACAGACAGCTGTACCTCCCAGTTCCTGCTGTAGCCCCTGTGCCTGCCGGATGAGGTACTTGATGGGAATCTGATCCATTAATGCTGAAGAGTAAGACTTGGGTTTTCTTTGCATGGCAGCTATAAAAGAAGAGGAAAAAACAGCCACATGTAGCAGTTGCAAGACAGCATTTAATACAAAAATCTAAACCTGTTCACAAATACCCAGTATCTTTGTGTTTGCCAGAAGTGCTTCTTCATATGACAGGACATAGTAGAGGACAAGCAGTTGCGTTGTGATGCTGTACCGCTGAGTAGGACGAGCGTTTTCTCCCTGTACAGAAAACCACATATAAAGGTCATATCACAACCCCAATAACAGGGAACAAAAATTTGGATTTATCTACAAATAGGAAGAAGGATAAGGCAGCAAACCTTGCATAAGACTGTCAAGCCATATGAGGTCTAAGCTGAAAGCTGTAGGGAATTTTGTTTTTTCAATCACTTTCAAACATAAAGTGTACTTTTGATTTCTTGGAGCCCCTGGATCCCAGCACAAATCAATGCTTGCCACTCATTGTACACGTATCCACGTGACCAATACTTCTATCAAAAAGGTGTTTCTTACAAGAACAGCTAGAATGTTTCAGTTAATTTATATTTTTGACCTAAGAAGGCCAATAATAGAAACCTTAGATAAACACTACTCCTTTTCAATCCATTTTACTGCTAGAAAGAGTTCATGACTTTTCAGTGTTTTAGTTTCTATTCTGAACAGCACAAACTGATTGCTTCCAAAGGAACAGCATGAAAGAGTGACAAACAGCAATCCTCCTAGAGCATGGGCAGCATGAACAAGATTCACTTCTGTACACATAACCATCACTGCAGGGCAAAGCAAATGACCACGCAGAGATTAAAGACAAAAATACAACTTTCACCATGTAAAACAAGCATACATTCAATGTACTGAACCACACCCACATTGACTGTAAAAAAATAAAGAGTTTACCCCAGTGAGCCCTTGAAAAACATTCAGTATCTCCTGTTCTGTGACAGGCTGGTTTGTGGCTTCTGGGTTGGATTTTGATGCAGGAGTAAGAATGGAGTTAATGTAGACATCAATAAGAGGAAGCAGCTGAGGGTGGAGCGGAGTGGTGGTTTCACAGAGCTGCCGGTAAATCCAGTCCTGGAAAAAAAAACCAACCATGCCACTATGCTTCATTCCAGAGCTGAAAAGAACCACGTTTTTTGTTGGTAATGTGCTGTAATAATCACAAATAACACTGGTCATATTTTAATTTTTTTAGGCAATTCTTATTGGAAAAGCCAAACTTGAGAACAGAAATGAAATGAAGGTCATACCTTAATGGATACTTTGTGCTTGGTGAATGATCGGCTCCTTAACAGCTGGTAAATGCAGTGAATGGGCAGAAACCCAGTAATGTTGGCACTGAGGCTGCCTGTAACGGGCACACGGACTGCGTGGGCTGTGACAACCTAAGAGGAAGTTACAAATGTCATGAACAATAACACAGCTATTCACTGTGTCACAAAGCAGCTCAACGCGACAAAGCTGCAGAGCTGCACCCTGTTGGACATTGACTCAGTTTTGACTGTTTGGAAACTAATGAATGTTTTTGTGTGGTTTAACACAGTACATACGGGATGTAAAACTGCAGTGCAAATACATTGAAGAACAATTTCCCACTACTACATTATTTATGTAATTGCATCAACGTGCAAAAGAAAAGGCCAAAGTTTTTCAGTCCCGGGAGGGCATGAATTCTTGTAGGTCAAACTTAATTGACTGAAGAAAAACAAACAAAAAAAAAACCATAAAAAGGCTACAACTTAAAATACCTGTTCAGTGAAAATCTCCTGTGTGAAGATTGTCTTCATTCTGCTCAGAGAGCTGGGCTTTATAACAATCTGAAACACAGAACGAAGTGCTTATGATGCTAAGTTCTAGTTTTAGCACTCCCAAAGACAGATATTTCTTAGAAGTACTTAAAATAAAACCTTAGCAGCTCAGTTTGGAAATGAATTCAACCAGTCTTCTTAAAAACATCTTTTCTTGCAAATGATTTCTACAATCCACTCAATAACTTGATGGTATCTTTTATCATAATGTTCCTCTTCCAATTTTACACACAGGGCAACGTTTTCTAGATGAGCTTAGATACTCTCTTCTTCAGTATACATCTACTGAGGCACATCAGCAAAACTGAAGCTTTTGTATAAAAGCAAAGTAAACATAAGAGTTTAAAAACGCAGAAAAATAAGCTCATTTTAACAGAGAGGTACGTGTCAGAAACAGCTCGGGGTTTACCTTCATTCCCAGCGTGGAGCAGACCAAATCGATGATAGCACTGAGCTGATTGCTGTGGAAATACATGGCTACCAAGAGAAGCATCTCTCCGAAGGAAGCAGACACACCAGAAATGCTACAGCAGCAAAGAGGAAGAGTTAATTTCCAATGGAAATAAAACTGAGATTACTGGAATCATTAAAAACAAAAGCAGCCTCCTCTCACCTTTCAAAGTAAGCCTCTTCCTTTATCATCCAGCTAAGCCACATCACCATGAGCTGCTCCTGTTCTGGTGTACTGCACAAAGAAATCACATAACAGATTATTTGCCGCAGATTACAGTTGGTTTTACTACCCGTTACTAGCAGAAAGAATTTAAATTTAATTTAAAATTGCATTAACAGGGGAAGTACCTGACAAGAGTGGAGAAGGCCAGGAGCATACAAAAGGAGAGAGACACAAAGCGAACACCAGCGGGGGTTGCGGGCGGCCGGCTGGTCATCAGCTGCAGCAGCTGCTCAGCTTCTTCATCTGTTGGTCTGAACAGGGAGAAAAACCACAGAGAACCACTGAGCATTTCACAGTGACTTCCATCTCATCACAAGGTTAAACGTGAAGTTTTCGCTATTATTCAATCTGTTTATCAGGTTACTATCAATGTACGAGCATTAAAATTCAACGGCACTTCTCTTGAACTGAAGAGTCACGACACAAATTCAAAGTTCATCGGGTGTGTGTTGCTACAGCTTTCTGTTCTACTCTGCTCCAAATGCTTAGGCTTCTTTTAATGAGTCTGTAGAACTGATGTTGCAGCTTTAAACAGAGCAGCGCATTTCCCACATTAATATTTTAGATTAAATAAAACATCAGTGAAGTTCATACATGGATCTTCATCATTAGAAGGAAAAACTTTTCTGGTAAGAAAAGTACCAGAAAGTAAAAAGCATACAACGTCTCTGAAGGCCTTCAGCATTAAATAATAGTCACTCTCAGCACTCATTGACATTTCCATCAGCTCAGGCAGCCCTGAGCACATGAGAAGTGCCTCCTTCAGTACTCAGTCTGATTCTACCAAGAAGGGTTTAAGGATATTACGATACAGAGACATTAGCAGTGCCCAAAGCTCTCCTCCTCCGTTTCAATGAGCAGACAGTGAGTAAAAAGCACAGCTCATTACTTCAGCCCAGCAATTCCCATCAAAGCGCAGTAGAGCCGTAGCAGCGCGCTGGCTTTCACAACGTGCTCCTCCTTCAGTCCAGAATACACAGACACATTTGGCTCTGTATCAACATCTGCTTCCTCAACAATGTGTGTGCTGCGAACCGTGGGAAGGATTCCCATGAGCTCCAGGAGCAGCTGTCTCCTCATTTGCCAAAGCACAGAACTGATATTATCTCTTTTTCTCTGTGAGGGAAGTTAAAAAATGAGAACAATATAAAACTCATCAGACATTGTATAAGAGAAGAGCTTCTGCAATGATGAACTCGAGAAAAAAATAAAATGAAATGAATGAGAGCAGGGAAAGGAGGGTTTTTTTAAATAAAAGCTCAGTACTGGGGGAACAGGCAAGACATGACCGTCTCACAATGCTTTATTTTGAAATAAACACAAACAGCTGCAAGTTGGGATTCAACTTCTTATTGTGAACACTGAGCATGAACAGTAATCACTGACACCTCACCATTCGCTCGTTTCATGGCCTGTTTGCTTACGTACCTAAAAATCTCTTAGAAGCACAACTGAAGAGCTGCCTTCAGCAACTCTAATTACAGACCTGAAGATCCCTTACCAGCAAACTGCCTCGCGAAGAGAGAGGACAGACGTGCATTCAGAAAAACATGGATGGCCACGAGCAGAGGATTTACAGCAAGAACTACTTGTTAAAAGCAGTTCATTCAACGACTGCCTTACCTGCTGGCCATTTCGGATGAAAGTTCCAAACCAAGTTCGAACTTTTGCATTCGTTCCAAGCAGCAAACCACTCACAAAACACACCAGGTCGCTCACTCCATCATCCGAAGATTCATTTTTGGTGTGATCCAATGTCAAAGCCACACCAAGACCCGGTAGGTGGCACTCTTCCACCTAGACGAAAGGTCCACACTAATCACCTTCTTGTTGTCAACGTTCCAGTAAGGACCACAGGAAGTCTCACATCTCGTCTCACAAGAGATGTGTGTCAGACTCACCACCATGCCTCGGACCCTCAGAGCTTGGGAAGGGTTCATCTTGCAGAGGTGACGGAGCGCTTCTGTTCTGCGACGGCCTCCAACGCTTTCCTCATCTTGCCGTTCCCCGTTCTTAATCAAACCCCTACAGACTGAACAACCAACAGGAGGTGAAATTTAATCTCATCTTTCCAATAGAAAGCCACAAACACACAGAGCCAAAGCGTTCTGCTGAGCTCACTATGATCTATTAGCTGGATTACACCAAGAAGCAGCGATCAACACTGAGTAGGAAGAACAAGGAAACGGTCTTTCCTTTCTTCTCTAAGAAATCACAGGATGTTCACAGATTTATGCATCACCCAATTACTGCTTACACTCTGCCTAATGCAAGCTGTGCATCTGACAGCACTGGAGAATGAAATTTTATTGTGTGGTAATAGATTCTGTGCAGGCATCGTCCTGCAAATGTTTCACCTCATAATATGGCTCGATCTGAGGGGCAGGTACTGATAGCAAGGCCACACCAGGTTCATAATCCCAGTAGCAGTTGGGATTGGACTGTTGGAAGCAGCCTTAAGAAAGGTGGCCTACAAATGGGAATGCTCACACAGTGATAACTACAATTATGCTGATAAAAGGGGGGTGGACGTACCGAGAAGGAAAGATCTACCAGCATCCCAGTTCTAATATCTACAATAAATAATTTAGCCCAGAATCAACTTTATTACAAATCTCCAGAACAAGTAAGCTAGACAAGAAAGAACCTTAGCTCACCCTCATTAAAGCTATCAGGAACATTTGCCACCAGCAGGCAGAGGAACCAGGCTCCATTTTTAACGTGCAGCAGCGCTTCAGCTACATCAACTATAGGCAACAGCGATGGCAGCTCTGGACAAAAAAGAGTTTTCACGGTTAGAGCATTTCACTACAAAACAAATGAAAACATGCTGAGATGCATGAATGAAAAAAATACATCAATCCGTGGTTTGTTCCTCTTTCAAAGAGGTGGAGAGCCCAGATGAACGTTCAGTCAGCCACAGCAGCTCAAGAAGTTATTTTTTTATTTATTTGTAAAAAGTTATGAATTCAAAAGCAAAGCAATATTAATGAACACAGCACGACAGAGCGCCATACCTGCTTGCAGAATGCAGAGAACATCTGCTGCCTCCTCCAGATAGACAGGGCTCTCAAAGAGCTCGGAAGATTTGAGAAAAAACTCCCCGTTCGATTCCGACACCTACGAGGCATTTCTCATCAGCACACAGGATGAAGAAGTTTGTCTAATCAGACTTTCATGGCATTGAATTCAACAGATGCAACATACTAAAATTACCAAAAACGTACAGTTCTAATCACAGAATAGTCAAGATGAATGTTTAGAATAATTAATATTTACTGGCAGAAGTACTCCAATAAAACCAGTATTATTGTTTCTTTCCAGAAGAAAAACAGCTCAGTGAGAGCTCCAGAAATACAGTAAGTTTGCACAGGGAAAACAAAACGCAGGCAGAAAGAACAAGAGAAATGTGTTGGCCAATACCACGCTGCAGCAAGACTGAAGAATAAGACAGAAACAAAAGGCATGATTTCATTTTCAGATATGGTTTCTGCACTGAAGCCTCACAAAATCACATTATATTTGAATGAAACACATTATGAGCCGTATTGAGTCTCTATCATATTAGAGAAGATTATCCTCATTTGTTCTGAGCAGGAAAGGTTTCCTCCAGGGCGCTGGGTTCACACAGAGTTGAACCGCAGGATGGTGCTCAGTAAGACTGAATCTTTAAACCTTGGGGAAGCAGACCAGAACCGGACACACGCTGACACGACAGCAGCAGAAGCAGGCAGTAAGTCAGCCCACCTTATTCATGATGGCCAGCAGCTCGCTGAGCACCAGGCGGAGCCGGCGGGGCGAATCGCTGTGCTCAAACTCCAGTGTCAGCCCGTGCTGCAGCTGTGACACCAGGATGCTCTCCCCGCTGCCTCCTCCCAGCTTGTGCCTGCCAGACAACGAAAACACAGCGATGCCATTTCATGCAAATTCCAGCCATTTCAGCAGGGATTTTTTCTATTACACTTAAAGTCGGAAAAGAGCATCGGAACTGCGCAGTGTTACGAAGTCAATTCCGTATTAAATCTATTCAGGCATTAAAAGAACGCACTCGGAGAACAGGGGCAGCATTTCAAAGGCCTCCACTCCCCAGCTGCACAATGGAAGCGCTGCCCCCCGGTCTGTCCTCAGCACCGCGCACTGCCAGGTCACATAAAGCCATTTTCGACAAATTGAATAAATAAAACGATCACATTAACATAAAACCGCGGGGAAAGCGGCCTCGATCAGACCGCCACAGAACCCGGGCGTTACCGGAGCTGCTGCTCTTTGCTGGCGTCCTGCTCCAGCGCGTGGAAGTCGACGGACAGCAGAGCAACGATAGAGTTGACGGCCTCCACGCCCGAGAGGAGCCGCAGGATGAGCTTCTTGTCCTGGGCCCAGCTCTGGCTCTGGTCCGCAGGAGCGCAGAGAGCCATGCGCACCAGGCAGGGCAGGAGCAGGCGCAGCTCGGGGTCGCTGAGCGCGGCCAGGCGCACCACGTCCACCTTCTGCATCGCCTCGAAGGCGTACGGACTGACGAACTGCATCCCCGAACACTCCGCCATGGCGGCCGCAGGGCCGCGGCCCCGTCCCACAGTCGGACCGCGCTCACTTCCGGCGCGCGGTGATGACGTCACGGCCGGAAGTGGGGCGGGCTGAGCGCGGGAGGTAGGCCTCGGCGCGGCCCTGCCACCTCCCGCCAAGGAGGAGATACCGCCATCTAGCCCCCGTGAATTATTTATTCCTCTGAAATTCTTTCCTGTTTTTTAAAAAGTATCAACCTTCTTCCCCCGCTCCCCCAGTTTCCTCGATCCCAGTTCGTACAACTCAGTGTTTACAGCATCGGGCAGCGACAGCGGCCGGTCCTCCATCGCTTGTCGCGATAAATAGGAGGAGTTGGGCCGTTAAACAGCACAGCTGTGAGCGTTGTAAACAAAAGGAAAAAAAGAGACAAACCTCCCCGAGAAGCGACCCAGCGCCGCGCCCCCAGCCCACAACGGCTCCAAAGGAGCCCACAGCCCATCCTGCTGTAAATTCAAAGCGCACCCCATAACCAGCAATGATTAAAAACCAACAGCCCCTGAAGGATGAAGCACAGTGCCGGGTCCTCCAGTCAGGAAGAAGCCCTCAGCTGGGGCTGGCACTGAGCTGACAACAATCCCACCCAGCCCCGCTCCCAGCAGTGCTGTGCAGCAAAGCAGAGGGGGAAACAGCCTTAAAAAAAAACTCAAACATTTCACTCTTGTTGATAGCTTTAAAATAGCGCTGCATCGTCCTGTGGTGGGACAGTGTTAACAAAGACAGGGGCCGTCTTCATAGCAACACATGAAGTTAGAATTCCCACTGGAGGCAAATATAGAAATACAGTGAACTTGTGCCATACTGACAGCTAAGGAGGAAGATTGCTGAGGATTTAAATATAAATTCATTTTTAATTATTTTAGGAAACGTCAGGAAGATCTACACGTGAGAGCTTCTTTAAAACAGAAGCATTACTGACGAGTGGGGGCCTGCTGGTCTGCACTGTGTGCTCAGAACAGACCCAAATAGCAACAAGGCAGAGGTTACTATGTGACTTGATTCCTGCACAGCTTGACTGAAATATGTATTTTTAATTGGAATGGAAAGATCTCAGATTCCTCTTCGTTGGACACACAGGAAGAGTAGATGTAGAAATTCCCCTCAGCAGAGCTCTGCCAGAACAACATGTTTTCACAAGACCACTTTGAGGAGCCAGGGCTGAGGTTTTCAAATATTTAAGATTGCACTTGCTAAAGAACCCGAGTTATTGGCTCGTGACAGTTTTATTTATAAATCTGCAATTATGTGCACTTAAAATAGTGGAAAGAGAGTAGCTAATGATAAGGTTTGCTCAGTGTAGCAGTTAGCTGCACGGTGTTGGCAATTCTGATATGCGCACCTCCAGCTGTGACTATCGCTTCAGAAATGGCCCTCCTCATTTTTTTTAGTAGTCGCAGTATTAATTTAATTATCATTTACTTTAACTGCACTGGAGATGGGAGGGGAGCACGTGGGAAACTGGAAACTGGCAGCTTTCACGACTGGAGAGCTTTGCAGGGAGGGTTATGGTCTGGGTAACAGAACTGAGTTATATCACCGTTTAGGCAGCTGATTCACTTACCTGTATGAACAACACAAAAAGCCACACCAATCCCAGCCCTTGGAACTTGGCTAGCTGAGCGAGGGTTAAAAAAAGACCACTTAAGCAACAAAACTTAAAAAAAAAAAAAATAATAATAAAAAAATTAGGACATGTACTTTGAAGATTCAGGTTTAGGAGCAGTTCTCCACTTCTACAATCTCAACCAAATGAGGGGAAAAACCCTCTGTAAGACAAAAACAGGTGCTGCTTCATCAAGAGGGATGAATGGACAGACCAGTTAGTAACTACGTATCAATAGATGCTAACTGCTGATTGCACTCAAATTACTTGGAAGAAATGACTGAAAGTTTTCATCAATTGTACAACTTCTTTATACAAAACAAAAGAGGCGCTAATAATGTATATACATAATTCAAGGAGACATTATAAGAAAAAAATTCTCAGGCAGGTATTTTGCATTTACAAAACCATAATTTTCATTAACATAGTACGTTTTGTAAATACAAGTGATTCTTCCTTGTAGAGGATTAACAGTGGGTGCAAAAGTGGATCTTAACTTGCTCCTGTACAGGTTTAACCAGCTCGACGGACGGCGTTAAGACCCAGGACATGATTACAGCAACAGACTCACGTGAGCGCTGCAGGAGTTGAGCTTTCAATCTGGCAGTCAGAAGATGAGGAACCAAAGAAAAGCAGATGCAGTTGCTCTCCAGCACCCGTAGGGGCTATTTTAGAGCACCATCAGACATTTGGTGTCTGCTAGGAGGAAGAAATGGTGAAGGAGGAGAGGTTTACCAAAGCCTTGTCATTTGTCAGGCCCTTCCTCAGGGAGGGCTGAGCCTCATTAGCACACACACCGCATGAAAAGGGGACATGGGGAAGGCCATACACTGGTACTTGGAACCTTCACCACAGTGACAAAAATACATGAAAAAGGAAAGCATTTGGGGCATTTTGTTGTTGTTTCAGGTTTTCGGGGATTGGGATTTATTTTTTCTTTTAGTTTCCCCCGGCCCGGCCCCCCCCCCCCAACTAAGGGAATAAAATCTGAATACCAGAATTCACCGAGAATCTATTTACATCACGTTTTAGTTAAACACACACCAATCTTAAAGTCAAGATTGACTGTTTTTGCATTTGTAAAATGGCTAGAGCTGGGCTAAATTTCAGCCTCACCGGAGACTTTGGGTAAGATTTGTGTTCCATGCCTTCTGCTTTAGGTTTGTGTTTCATCGCAAACAGGAGGAAATAATGCTCACCACAGTGCCAAGAATATCTAGCAACAACAATGCACAGCAGATATTCTTGCAATAATTAAACTAGGATACTGGAAATAGATCTGAGAATCTAGCCACAGCCCTGAACCATAACACAAACTTCAGGTGAAGAGTTTATTCGCTTTATTCTCACTACAAGTTAAACCACCTACAATATCACTGATATATTGCCATTGTTACTCTGTAAAGGTGTGATATAAAATGCTGTAAGACCCGGTACCTTTTCAATTTATATAAACACAGTGAACTTCATTACTGTACATGTACTCTGCAACTACAGCTTAGCTGTAAATCCCCCACACACAATGGTATGGACATTAACCCCTCTATACCCATTAAACTGTACATCAAGACAATACAAATTTACTGTCCCCGCCCACCCCTTACAAAAAAATAATACTCTAAAAGCAACCTACTGCAACTTTTAATTAAGACGATTACATATATTTTAGACCAATTGCTTTAAAGCAAGAAGGCAGTATAAACCTTCTAGGAAAATTTTTATAAAAGAGGTTAAGAAATATAAGACAATTTATACATTTAAAAACTTACAATAAATAAGAGATGCAGGCATTTTTGAATACTAGGTACTATAATCCAATACAAGAACATCTTGATGTTCTGAAGCCATAGGGTGAAACTCATTGTTCCTCACGTTTCTTCTCATCTCCATGCTTTTAATATTCATTAACCGTGACTGGGTACTATGGCTCATTACTCTTCACAAATACTGTGACTGGGGAAAAATGGTTAATTTTGCTACTAAAAAATGTTATAATACACTTTCTGATCATCATTCTAAAGCGTCCCCCGTAGTCAGTGACTCAAAGACAGCAGGTGATAAGTACCCCTCTCACAAGTCAAACCAATATTTGCTGGAAGTAACAAGATTCATACCCCATCACAAACAACTTGCACTGAGAAGAATTATAACTTAGTCCTGCAGTGAAATATCCCTTTTCCTCATTTTTGTCTTGCAAAATTCAGGTGAAGATCACAGCATATTCATGATAAAGTTATACAACTGATTCAGCACCACAAAATGAATCGGGAGACATGACCGTCTGTCCTGGGTTGCAGGATCACAGGTTAGCCAGGAGAGTGCATTGTACTGTTCCAGAACAAACCTGAAAAGCAAATAAGCTTCCATCAAGCCAACAGATTTTTCTCACCAGCATTTTACAGCACTAGTTTAATGTGATGCAGTTGCTTTGGTATTAAACATATCAAATGGGTTTGCCAACACTTTGAAATAACAACTGTAGAATTATTGGGAGCAGATCAAAGCTAAACTTCATTTCAGTAGAAAATACTCTATTATTTTAATCAATAATCTAATCTAATCAATAATTAATCTAATCATAGTTGTTGATGATAATTAATGCTGAGAGATTCACATACTAAAAGAAACCAAATAAATGTGATGCTTTCTCATTAACAAGTGTCTTATGTGCACACAACTACCTGCAAACTCCTCTACTTCAGTATTCCCACGACTCACATAAGATTCTGGCTCAAGTATTATCATCCTCCTCTCATTTATGCACTATTTTTTTAGTGAATTTAATGTTTTTCAAATAGTTTCAGTTGTAATCAACATTAATTAGTTAAATAAGAGTTTAGAGATATTTGCATTTCACCGCTGCCTTGCGGTGAAGACGTATTTCATTGTTCAGTGCCCAGCAGTTTGTTTTGTTTGTGATGTTCTAAGGGCAGTGACAATGAAAAAACTAATGGCAAGAAAAACAAATATCCAGATCCACTGCAGCACTATTAAAAATGAAACACACAACTGTTTTTGCAAGCAGTCAATCATAAATACCTGAGCACATCAGAAGTTTGATTAGAATCAAGTGGATGGGAGTGTTTACTGTGGAGTAGCTCGTCTGATTGCACTGAAGGCACGTGGAGGTGCAAAGAGGCCTAAGGAGGAAGGAAGATGTTAGCAGTCAGTGTCTGATTCAACTATAACTTCCTTCCCTTTGTTCTGCTGACCCAAATATTGCAGCCACTTCCTATTCTCCAGCATACAAATTAAATAAAGCCTATCCTCGTGCAGCTCATCAGTGCAGGAATTCTTTCTCCTAGAAGCACAGTGCTAACAGTGTAATGCACCTTAGGAAACTGTTTTTAAAATATTTGTGCCTACATTCAATGATGACTAAAAAGGCAAACTCCAGTGGCACAAGA